TAGCCAGCTCACTTCCTCCATTTGGGAGTCGTGTGTTCACGGGTCTCTCAGGTCATTACAGGCTCAAATTTCCAGATGAGGATGGCCTGGTTTCTAGCACATTCCAGACTCAGCCAGGAAAGCTGAGAGCCAGGGTCTGCTGCCCAGCTGACACCAGCGTCATGCTCACTGGCCACTACACCAGCAGTTTACCTGCAGATAATCCAGCTGCTAAACCAATGGTCTACTTGCAGCTACACTGAGTGTCTTAGACAGAGGTGCCCCAGGAATGAAACCAATGAAAATGCTCAGGTGGGACACCAGGACACTGGTTTAACCATTCAGTGTCGTATCGGAGAAAATCTTGGGGTGAAAAGCTTGTTGAAATCTTTCAATTTCTAATTAGAAGGAGGAGTCGTTTTTAACCCAGTTTTATGGGTCAAAGAAAACTTCAGCTGTTCCGGCTCTGGCTACTTTGGGCAACATTCTTCCTGATAAAACTGATCTTACTTTTCACGCTGTGTGCATTCCATCCTGTCTCCAGCTGTCTGCAAGTGACCTGTGGGTTATGTTCTGGAGCATGACCAGATCCTACCCAATGGCCCTGCACACTTTTTTGGCCTTTTTTTTTTTTAATCTGAACAGCTCTAACTGGCTCAGAAAAAGGCAAGAACTCCTAATTCAAGGATCTTCTGCATTTCTCACGTTTATTTGACAATAAACACCCACTGTTAGCATAATTTATTCCTGTGTTGCCCTAGGCCTAACCAAGGTTTCTGATCTCCTGTGGGAAGATACCCTAAAATCCACTCTAGCTTTTATTATTATTATTATTATTATTATTATTATGAAGTAGTTAGAATACTTAGAACCGTCTTAACATACAGATGGCTGAACCACAGCCCTTCCTCTTCAGTATGGTCCTTCCTCTCATTTGTAGCTGGTGGTCACCCAGCCTGGTCCAAATTAACACCAACATCTATTCTGTCTGGTCAGTCTGAAAGGGACACTGGTAAACATTTTGATTTTTACTCCTTAATGAATGTCATGTATAAAAAGGGATAATAAATACACAGGTACAAATCAGATGAAGAAGCAGAGTTTACAGGGAGGGCATTTGGTATGGTGGTTAAAACACTGCTTAGGGTGCCCGTACCCCATCTTAGAGTGCCTGGGTTTGGGTCCTGACTCCAGCTGCCTGCTAAGGTGCACACTGGGAGGCACCAGTGATGACTCAAGTAGTTGAGTCCGTGCCACCCATTTGGGTGCTCAGATTCAGTTCCAAGATTCTGGTGTTGGCCTTGCCCAGCGCCCACTGTTGTGGATATTTGGAGAGTGAACAAGCAATGGAAATTCTATCTGTCTCTCTTCTTTTTGAGTAAATAAAATATGTAAATTGACAAAAATGAAAAGAAACAGGGCATTACAAAAACTTCCAAATTTATTTTCAATAGGCGAAGCGTTTGTACCATTGAAAAATTCAAAGGTAAAAAGGCCTCCATTTATCTTTCTCAGCTGCCTTGGCCCTATTGCTGAGTTTCTTGTGTATCCTTTCAGAGACTTTATGTACGGACCAAAAAAAAAAAAAAAAAAAAAAAAAAAAAAAAAAAAAAAACCACTTATGTATAGGTTTTATTTCTCCTTTATTCTCTGCTAGTAGCATACAGTACATGGCATTCTGCTTCTTTTAAGCTTAACTGTGTATTGGTGGTCTCTCCACTTCAATGCTCAAAGGGTTTTCTTAGTGTGTTTGGCAAAGCTAGGTGGTACATCATTGTGTGTTTGTACTGTAATCTGCTTGATGAGTCACCTCCTGACTACATACAAGGTTATTTACAGATACTGGATACGATAATGAATAACTTTGTACATACTCACTTCACAAATATGCCAGCGTATCTGTAAATTAGATTCTTATAAATAGACTTGCTAGTTTACAGGGTGTGTCATAACAATGTTTCACAAGTATGCAGATAAATCTGTATGACAGAGTCATAGAAGTAGAACTGTCAGGTCAGAAAGCAGGTGCATCTGTAATCTCTATAAAGAGATTGAAGATATGGCCTCAGTAGGGTTGTGCAAGCCATATGAACATAATAGATGACCAGCATAGTATATGACTGAACTTTTAGTTCTTCTCACAGCTGATAAGTGATATCTCATATAGTTTTTATTTTACATTTCCTTCATTTTTTAAATGAAAAATATATTTTTTTGAAAGGCAGAGTTCCAGAGGGAGAAAAATCTTCCACCTGCTAATTCACTCCCCAAATGGCCACAATGCCCAGAGCTGGGACAGGCTGAAGCCAGAAGACAGGAGCTTCTTCCAGGTCTTCCACATGGGTACAGGTGCCTAAGCACTTGGACCATCTTCTGGTGCTTTCCCAGGCAGATTGGCAGGGAGCTGGATTAGAAGTGGAGCACCTGGGACTTGACCCAGCATCCATATGGGATGTCAGCACCACAGCTTTACCCAGTACAAGTCAGCACTGGCCTCCACCTTTCTTTGATTATGAATGAGGTTGAACAGATTTTTATATATTTATAAGGGCTGCTATCTGCTGTGAATGTCCTGTTTATATCTTTTTATGCTTTCCTATGGGATTAGTGGACTTTATACTGATTTTTAAGAGCTCTTAACATGAGAAGAATTAGCCTTATGGAAGTACACTATGAGATGTAATTTTTTTTTTTTTTTGTCATTTGGTCATTTGTCTTTAACTTAGGTTGGATTTTGATATGCAGAAAGGTTTTCATTTTTATGTGGGCTGTATCACTCTCGATCTCCTGTACACTGTGCTGATTGACTATGCAATTGCTTTTACCTACAAAGGCAATGATTTGTTTAAAGGCTATCTAGAACATAAATGAGCACTTTTTCTAGAAAGGACTGGGCAATGAATAAATATTTTATTTTAGACTTTAAAATCAGTTCACCACATCTGCTCTGCCACTGCAGTGTGAAAGCTGGCATCAACACGACTTAAATGAATGAATGAGGCCATGTGCCAATAAAACTTGATTTACAAAAATAGGTTAGCAGGCAGGGTTGGCCCATGGGCCATTGTTTGCATAGAGGCCACTAGGAGTCCTTTCCTGGCCGGTGCAGCCACTGTGTTTGGCCTCTTCTGTGGTCTCCCCACATGAACAGAAAAATGCTTTCAGCTCAGTTCTTTCGTCTGAGTCCCACCCTTCCCACCTGCTGTGGCACCAGCGGCTTGCTCAGCAGAGATTATTTTTGGCGGTTTTCCAATCTGGAACCAAATATCCAGGTTCTCGGGCAGCTATAGGCAGCCCATGGATTTTTATGTTTTTTCAACTGATGTGGTTAAGCCAAGTGGTGGCCTCTGGCCAGCATCTCAGCTGGTGAATGACTCGGCATTTATACATGTTTTCCAGGCACCAAAAACTCACTGCACAGGAATCTCCCTCCAACACAACCTACTGGTAGCCCCTTCCATACCCGGGGTGGTGCTTGGCCTCAAATACCAATTCCTGCTCATCTCATCAACATGTCAGAAGACCTAACATGTGTTGCATCAATGAGAAAAATAGTAAAAATCATAGCAGTTATTTGTAGTGGCTAAATGTGGGGAGCAACTGGGAGCAACTCGGACTAGACTAAGTTACTGGAATTAAGACTTATTCTATGCATCTGCTCTCCCACAATATGGCGCTGGGAGAGGAGGAAACAGCTTCTACACAGCTGCCTCCAGTTCAACCAATAAACAGCAGGACCTGCTCCTGATTGGAGGAGAGCAGCGTACTCGGCGTGTGGGTAGCAGAGTTGGGATTGGTGAAAGAGGACTATAAAGGAGGAGAGAGACAACATGCACGAGGAACATCTATCTGAAGGAACACCTGTGCAGTCCCCGAGAGAGCCGGCCGGCGGTGTGCCGCTCCCCCACGGAAGTGGGGAAAGTGGCAGGGGGAACCGCCCTTCCACGGAGGTGGAAGGGTGGCAGCCAACCCGGGAAGAACCAGCAGCAAACCCGGGGAGGGCCGAGCAGACAAAAGAACAGCGCAGGGTCCTGTGTCGTTCCTCCACGAAGAGGGGGAGCGACATAATGGTGCCGTGACTCGCATATGAAGCTTAGGCAGGGTTTAGTGTCGTTCCTCCACGAAGAGGGGGAGCGACATAATGGTGCCGTGACTCGGATATGAAGCCTAGGCAGGGTTTAGTGTCGTTCCTCCATGGAGAGGGGGAGCGACAGCTAAAGAAAAACTGCTTTTTAACATCAGCTACAATGGAGTTTTCTGGCATCAGATAGAACCTCATCTTAAACAAGCATGGGCCAACAACCTTGGTTTGAAATGTTGGTTGCCACCTCTCCTTTTAAGAACTAAGGGAAATGCTCGTGCCATAAGCTGGGAAGGAGGGTTGGCGATAGTAACCAGCCAGGAGGGTGGCTGTGGGTTGTGTAGGGGGGACGGATAGTGAGTAGCACAGGGGAAACCCAGACCAGAGTGGCCAGGAGGAAGAGAGCTGGAGAGGTAGATGGGGCCAAATCAGGCAGACTCTCCGAGACTTCTTAGGGATGTCAGTCTTTATCCTACAAATACGAGCAGGGGAAAGCCAGGGAAAGTGATGGTATCAAATATGCATGACAGGTCATGCTGGCTGCCTGGTGCACATGGATTGAAGTCTCACGGGAGACTGGTCTGGAAGCTCTTCTTGCTCAGCAGGAGGGCCCGGAGGCTTAGTGCAGAGTGGAGAGAGCTGGATGCCTGGGGCGACCCTGAGGATTTGGGGATGGATGGGGACTGGAGGGTGACAGGGAGGGGACGTCACTGGTGACTCTCTTGTCTGTAGCTATGCAGGGTGGCTCCTGGAAGGTCTCTAGACAGTGAGATACCCTTCCAGAACATCTACATGCTTGGATCCTGGGGTTTATCCGGAGGGCCCCTTGGATAAGCCTTGACCTTGGCTATACTATTATTGACTGTTGGCTGTACCTGGAGATCTGCTCTTGGCAAGCTGAAATCTTTTTATCTGTTCCTTCTCATCTGCACTTCTATAGGTGTCACATGCCCCACGCCCACATCTGTTGAACATGCAGCCATCCGGGTCAAGAGTTACAACTTGAGCTCCAGGGAGCGGTATGTTTGTAACTCAGGTTTCAAGCGTAAAGCCGGGACATCCAGCCTGACGGAGTGTGTGTTTAACAAAACCACAAACATTGCCTACTGGACAACTCCCAATCTCAAGTGCATCAGTAAGTATCCAGTTCCTACTCTTGTCCTTCTTCACCCCGCCAAGGCCACACAAAGAGCAGAGATGCAGTATGGGGCCAGATGAGTCCATCTCAGGGCCAACACACTTCTCTGTGTTGAAGTCGGAGGCTAAACACCAATGGGACACTGAAAAACACCTTCTTCAGTTGTAGACACATGGGTGTTTGGGTCACACAATTCTGGGTTCACAATTGGCTCTGCCATTTCGTACCTGTGAGGTCTCAGAGAAGGCCCTTAATCTCTTGGAGCTCTGGATGGTCTTCTAGGAAATGAACCCCATGGTCACACTGCAGGTTGTATGAGGATTCAGTGGTACATATGAACTGACACTACTGTGAATGCTTGCTTTGAGATTTATGGAGGAAGGATTTGGGTTACAGAAAGGATACGTGCTTACAAGCACACTTGCTTTCCAGGGAGTTTTTTTTTTTTTTTTTTTAATTTTCCCCAAGGAAGGAGACTGCAGGGAAACTATTGCTGTTTTTCCCATTACTGCTCAATCCCAAGGACTGGAACAGACCTGTGCAGCAATGTTTCCCTTAGCTTAGTCACTGTGTATGGTATCTTACAGTTCTCAAGTTTTCCCCTAAAAACAGTCTACAACTGGACAGACATGCTAAAAGAAGCCAAATGCTGTTGAGGTGGAAGCCACTAGGTGCTATTTCCATGAATACTAAGCTCCACTTCTACTCCTCCCTTCCCACCTCTAGAAAAGTAAAGATTGACCCATGCCCTGACTTAATGAGTCTTGGCTCTGTCTAGCAGTGAGCTAGATGCTTTCTCAAATTTGTATAACATTGGCGAGCATTCTGAACTCCTGTATGGGGCAGGGGCTGGGAGGGGACTGTCCCATAGCGAACTCACCCTGCTGGAGGATTCCTCAAAGAGCCACACTTTCTCATGGGATGTGTAGTGGTAGATAGCCCTTCTCCCCCATCCTTCTCTTCAGAACAGAAGTCACAGGGAAGGGAAGCAGGAAGCCCTTCCACTCGTTTCGAGGAATCATCCAGTTGAGGAATCAAGCTCCCTGTGGCACTGGGTAGAACTGAAGAGAGGAGCCAGGTGAGGCTGGGAGTGGCCGGTAACTGTGGGAACCCCGAGCGGATCTCTGACTCTGTCCTGTCCTGGGACCCACTGGAACCTGTAATTCAAGGACAAAAATAAGGGCCTTTCCACTGTAAGAAAAGTTACATTTCCATAAAGCTCTGTGTCATTTGGGTGAATGAATCTATTAAGGAGTGGAGCTGTAGGCTCTGAACCAGGCAGATGGGAAGGGAAGAAGACACCTTGTAGTCCAGTTAGGTTTCACCTAGTTCAGAGCTTCCTCCATTTTTTTTTTCCACCAACTCCCTTCAATCATTGTTTTTCCCAGCCTCTTGTGCTTTGAATGATTTTTTTTTATTTGACAGGTAGAGTTATAGACAGTGAGAGAGAGACAAAGAGAAAGGTCTTCCTTTCTCCCCAATGGCTGCTACGGCAGGAGCTGTGCCGATCCGAAGCCAGGAGCCAGGTGCTTCTTCCTGGTCTCCCATGCGGGTGCAGGGGCCCAAGCACTTGGGCCATCCTCCACTGCCCTCCTGGGCCACAGCAGAGAGCTGGACTGGAAGAGGAGCAACTGGGACTAGAACCCGGCACCCATATGGTTTGCCGGTACCGCAGGCAGAAGATTAACCAAGGGAGCCTCGGCGCAAGCCCCAATTTTCTTTCTTTTCTACTTTTTTTTTTTTTTTAAATGTATTTATTTATTTGAAAGTCAGTTACACAGAGAGTGTAAGATACACACACACACACACACACACACACAGAAAGAGAGAGATGGATTTTCCCTCTGCTGGTTCACTCCCCAAATGGGTGCAATGGCTGAGGCTGAGTGAGACCAAAGCTAGGAGCCAGGAGCTTTTTCTGGGTCTGCTATATAGGTGCAGGGGTCCAAGCACTTGGGCCATCTTTCACTGCTTTCATAGGTGCCTCAGCAGGGAGCAGTAGGGACTTGCACTGGCGCCCATATGGGATATCGCCATCACAGGTAGTGGCTTTACCTGCTATGCCCTGGCCCCTGATTTTTCATTCTAAACAAACAGAATCTATTGAGTAATTGTTTACTGTCCCATGAAAATCCAATGTTGTAAAACTGAGTTAATATCATTAATACTGTTCCAGCCAAAAATAAATTTGATGCCTTAGTTGTGCAGTTTTTTTTTTTTTTTTTGGAAATGCTACAAATAAAGTTTGCTGGGGTTGGTGTTGTGGCATAATGGGTTAAAGCTGCTACCTGTAATGCTGACCTGCCATATGGGTGTCAGTTCAAGTCCCGGCTGTTCTACTTCTGAGCCAGCTCCCTGCTAATGTGCCTGTGGAGGCAGTGGAAGATGGCCAATGGGTCCCTCCACCCACATGGGAGACTCAGAGACAGCTCCTGGCTTCAGGCTTTGATCTGGCCCAGCTCTAGCCATTGTGGCCATTTGGGGAGTGAACCAGCACATGGAAGATCTCTCTCTGTTTTCCTCTCCCTCTCTGTGTCTAACTCTGCCTTTCAAATAAATAAATAAATAAAATAAATCTTAAAAAAATAAATAAAGTTTGCTATCTGTCTTTGCATTTGGATTGGAAAATACTGCTGTTTATTTCCTGAACTTTGAATCCGACTTAGGAAGTTAGATATCTCCATTGTATATTTACGTGTTTTTAAAATGTATATCCAGTTCTGAAGCCACCCCCAAGTTCCACTCTCAGGATCTTAAATGCCATGTGGTTATCCTCTCTCCAGGAGACCCCTCCCTGACTCACCAAAGGCCAGTGCCACCCTCCACTGTAGTGACGGCAAGGGTGACCCCACAGCCAGAGAGCCCCTCCCCTTCTGGAAAAGGTAGGAACACAGGAAACTTTTTAAAGATTCCCATTCCCTACTACCACCCAGCTCCCCACCCCCGAATCCTGAACATTCAAGGACCACTGCTGCTGTTCTGCTGCCAACGTAGGTAACAGAACAGACTCTCTGTTGAGGACAGGAGTCAGAATTTATAGTGGCTCTAATTTTCTTTTTAAAATCAGAGTTGCTTGATGTCTAGATTTCATATGTGCACAATGAATAGTGGTTTAAAACTCACTGTTAATGTATCAAATTATGCTTAGTTGTAGACACTTATCCTTATCACGAACTGGAAACAGCCTGGGATGTGATCTCATTTGTACCACGTTAGCCTGCCACAGTTTTATGGGTGCTGGCAGAAAACATAATACTCCTGGAGAAGAGACAATGTGGCTCATTTATATGTGGCATAGCAAGCAGCAGGATCATTAGCATGTTTGCATCAATTTCTTTGTTTCTCACAGAAGCAACGTGGATGGGCCTGAATAGATGCCCAGATGTCCAGTGGGTTACACTCTGGGAGGAGAAACCTGGGCTCAGGGAACCCGAATGTTTTATAATTGGGAGCAAACAGAGTCACTTTTGATTTGCCCAATAAATCAGATAATCACCAAGTCACCACTCCTAGCCTTGCATCTGTGTCCCAATCACTTGGTCAGATGTCCTTTGCTGAGACCAAACTGTGCAGCTGGAAGCTCGGCTGTGAGAGAACATTTGATACAGACTGATGTGAGCGCATGCTTGGATGTGAATACTCGGTCTGGGGGGGACTCTAGATGTGGGGGACCCTGGAGTGCTGACAGCTAGAGTAAGGTGAGGGGCATGTGAGGCTGTAACGAAGGGTTAATTGTAGGGGACCTCTCACCACATAGGTGGCTGGGAGAGGATGGGGACACAGGCTTCAATCGCGTGTCAAGAGCATTGTGATGCTTGGCCTCACCAGGTGCTTTGCTCTAAGGCTGTATTTTCTAAGTTCTGTATCTGTCAGGAGACCCAGTTGCCATGGAGACAAGATAGGAAACAGCTATGCCACACCTTACTTAACAGTGTAGGGGCCATCCGCCAAGAAGGGGGAAGGCAGTCTCCCTCCCTGAGACTGAAGCTAAATCAGGATATATCCCTCAAATACACACCACTGAGTTCAGACAAGCCAAATCTCAGGCTTCCCCATATTTCAAAAAGTGTTTGCCAACATGTAAAAAAGAAAACCAGAATCTTAGCTTTTTGGCAAACACAGCCCCCTTGTGTGTGTGTGTGTGTGTGTGTGTATTTAAGATTTATTTATTTAACAGAGAGGGCAAGGCAGAGAGAGAGAGAGACAGAGACAGAGAGAGAGAGAGAGTGCTAAGAGATCTTCCATCCGCTGGCTCACTCCCCAAATGGCCACAAGGGACAGGGCTGGGCCAGGCCAAAGCCAGGAGCCAGGAGCTGCATCTGGGTCTCCCACATGGGTGCAGCAGCCCAAGCACTTGGGCCACCTTCTTCTGTTTCCCCAGGCATGTTAGCAGGGAGCTGGATCGGAAGTGGAGCATCTGGGACTGGAACAGGTGCCCACGTGGGATGCAGACGGCGGCTTTACACGCTTACATGCTACGTCACAACGCCAGCCTCCCTTGTGTTGTTGAGCTACGTCTTTGAGCATGTGAATGTCTCCTCTAGGCAGCAAGCTTGAATATGCAGCTCTTTAGGGTTCTTCCTATATATGCACCATGAAAAGTAACTAAAAAGCCCCATCGCCATGGATGTGTCACCACTGAAGGGGGGCATCATGCTGGGGCAGGGCTGGGGGGTGGGCTCCCTGGAGTGTGTCCTGAGACTCCCCATCTGCTGGAACTCAGAGGACTCCAGTCTAAATATCTGTGTTCTCACCATCTTGAAATCTCCTGCAGGCCCAGCCACATTCTCTCCAGAGTCAGACACCACAGTGGCCACAGGGACAGCTATTATACCAGGCTCCCAGCTGATGCCATCCACGTCACCTTCCACAGGAACCACAGGGATAGGCAGTCATGAGTCCTCCCAAGCCCCATCTCAGACAACAACAAAGACCTTGGAACCCACGCCCTCCACCTCCCACGAGACAACAGGTTAGCACTAGCTTTGCATGGCGACAGGCCAGTTCCCCACATCCTGCTTCTGAGATTTGGGTAGGGATCTTGCACCGTTCAGTCCAGAGTCAGCACTGACCTAGCGGCCTTGCTGCCTTCTGCACCTGCCACAGCCCCCTTTGCCTGGTTTCTGTTCCCCGTGGTGCGCACTTTCTGCCTGGCTTAGTGCAGCTGGGAAAACTGGAAAAGAAAAATCCACCTCCGCAGTGCGATGTGGCCAACCTTATTAAGCTGCCCAGCAGAGCCCATGGCACAGCTCTGAACACCCATCTGAACTGTACCCCCATGGCAGGGTGATGGACACATTCTGCCATCTGGAGCCATTGTCTGTGGGGTAGAGAAGCTCTTGGCATTCTGGGCCTGCTTTAGGTCTTGCCCAGTTTGGAAGCATGTCCCAGCACCTCAGCGAGTTTCCTGCGTGTTCTTGGCTGAAATGATTTTGGTGATGCTACTGGTGGGTCTCCCAAGGTTCTAAGATGGGAGCCAAGATATCCCACATTTCTTGGGCTCCGTGAGAAACTAGTACCTTAAGGACTGCAGCCCTGACTCGGCTGTTCTCTCTCCTCTGCAGATGCTCATCCGTACAGTTCCAGAGACGTCACTGGTAAGTACTCTCCTTTGTCTGGCGTGCTTACGATTGGGGTGACCACAGAGCCAGCAGGCTGAACGGTCCTGCTCTGAGCCTGCCGCCCGGCATGACCTCCACCCTCAGAAGTGCCTCCATCAGAACAACTACGTTCTGTGATATCTCGGTAGTGGACAGCTTCGTCTGTCATGACATCTTATGTCCATACTGCTCGCTGCTACCTGTCATGCTAGTGACGTTGAAACCAGACAGCTGCTGTACCACAGAAAGGGCCTCGTGGTTCACTTCTGCTCAGCAATGCAGGACTCTTGTCCAGGAAACTGCCCGTGCCCACTGTTGCCATTTTTCTGCCAGCAGCTGCATTCATCTCCCACAGGACAGGGGCACCGTAAGCTTTACAGAGGGAGCTCCACTTTTCTCAGAATAAAAGCTTCCTCCTACAGAAGACACGTGCAACGTTAAGGCTAGGAGAAAAAGAAAGGGAACAGACAAGTGACTATGAGGAGGAAATGGGAAGTGTTTGTAAGAATAGAAAAGAAGAAGGGAGGAGAAGAAAGTGCAGAGAAGGCAACAGGAGAAAGAAAGGGAATGGAGGGTCCGGTGCTGCCCCCCCCCCCCCCAGCTACTTCACTTCTGTTAATGCGCCTGGGAATGTGGCAGAAGATGGCTCAAGTACTTGGGCCCCTGCCACCCACGTGGGTAGACAGAGACCCAGATGGAATTGCAGGCTCCTGTCTTTGGCCTGGCTCAGAACCAGCTGTTGCAGTCATTTGGGGAGTGAACCAGTGGATGGAAAATTTTTCTCTTTCGGCCGGCGCCGCAGCTCACTAGGCTAATCCTCTGCCTTGCGGCGCCGGCACACCGGGTTCTAGTCCTGGTCGGGGCGCTGGATTCTGTCCCGGTTGCCCCTCTTCCAGGCCAGCCCTCTGCTGTGGCCAGGGAGTGCAGTGGAGGATGGCCCAAGTGCTTGGGCCCTGCACCCCATGGGAGACCAGGAGAAGTACCTGGCTCCTGCCATCGGATCAGCGCGGTGCGCTGACCGCAGCGCACCGGCTGAGGCGGCCATCAGAGGGTGAACCAACGACAAAGGAAGACCTTTCTCTCTGTCTCTCTCTCTCACTGTCCACTCTGCCTGTCAAAAAAAAAATTTTCTTTCTATGTATGTCTCTCCCTCTCTTTCTCTGTAATTCTGCCTTTCAAATAAATAAATAAATAAATCTTTAACAATGAAGACTTCAAAAGCAATTAAAGATAAAATATATATATTTATAAAGTTACAAACATAGTAAAAAAATTCTCAGTTGTGACTAAAAATTATCTTGTAGAAAGGAAGCAACGCCTGTTCCCAGATTTTAGGGCATGCTTCCAGAGAGGCAGTCTGGAAACAAGCACTCAGGGGTTAAATGACGCTGGACACTTGTTTTACTTTTACTGTTCTGTACTTCACTTTCACTTAATGAGGTATCCTGGAGATCCTTCCACATCAGTGCATAAAATCCCCTTCTTTCTTTTTCACTGCCACAGAATATGGATTTGCCATGCTTGTTTAGCTTGCCTCCTCTTTGTATATGTCATTGTTTACATTCGTTGGTTATATTACAAATAATGACTGGAAAATCCCCATGTGCCAGTCTTATCTGTAGGATATCCTACACATAAAATTCTGGGGCCAGGGGCCAATGTTGTGGTGTAGTGGGTTAAGCTACCACTTGCGATGCTGGCATTTGATATTGGAATGCTGGTTCGAGTCTCAGCTGCTCCACTTCTGATCCCTGCTAATGCACCTGGCAAAGCAGCAGAGGATGGCTCAAGTGCTTGGGCCTCTGGCAAACACATCCAAGACCAGGATAGAGTGAGTTGCTGGCTCCAGACTTTAACCTGGATGGGTCCCAGCTGTTATGGACATGGGGACTGAACCAGTGGACAGAAGATCTCTATTTCTCCTTCTCTCTGTTGCTCTACCTTTTAAATAAATGCATAAACCTTTTAAAAAATGTCCATTTTTGGCTACATAGATTTTTCAAACAGTATTTGATTATGGGTTACAATCTATAATCTGCTTTTCCAGTTGATGACTTTCACTGGATTAAAATATCAAAATCTCTTCCAGGGCAGGTGTTTAGTTTAACAGTTGAAATGTCCCTGTCCTATACAGGAGTACCTGGGTTTGATACTTGGCTTCAGCTCCTGATTCCAGCTTTCTGCTAGTGCCGACCCTCGGGCTCTGCATCAGTGACTGCTCAAGTAATGGGGTTCCTGCCACCTAGACTGAGTTCCCAGCTCTCAGTTTCAGCCTGGCTCAGCCCTGGCTGTTGCAGGCATTTGTGGAGTAAACCAGCAAATGGGAGCTTATTTCTCTGTTTGTCTCCTTTTCTCTGCTTCTCTAATAAATTTAAAAAAATGTTATCTCCCAAATTCTGAAATGTAATAAACATTAACTGAACAACTACAATGGGCAAAGATAGTTGCATGCAAGGAAATGTGAAAATACAGAGGACTAAAGAAAAAAAACAAACCAAAATATTTCATGTGTGAGATTTTTTTCCTTCAGACTGCTGAAATAAAAAGACACGGGCTGGTGTCATGCCACTGTGGGTTGGTATGCCAACATTTCATATGGGAGTGCCAGTTCATGCCCCAGCTGCTCCACTTCTGATCCAGTTTCCTGCTAATGCACCTGGTAGGAAGTGGGTGATGTCTCAAGTACTTGGGTCCCTGTCACCCACATGGGAGTCCCAGTTGGAGTTCCTAGCTCCTGACATCAGTCTTGCCCACTGGTGGGTGTTGTGGGCAGTTGGGGAATGAACTAGCAGATGCAAGAGATTCTCTCTGTCTCTCTCTGTCTCTCTCTGCTTTTCAAATGAATAAATAAATCTTCAGAAATTTTAAAAAGATAGGTGAAGAGAACCAAGTACTTGTCAGCAAAGAGATGAAAATAAAATCTGTTTCATTGTATGTGATTTAAGTTTTGTCTGCTCATAAGGTAGAAATTAAAATCATGCTAGTTTTCTGAAAGCACTTAGTGAAGGTGCCATTACAATATGTCACATATGTCTGTCCCAGCTACCCCAACACCCAACAGTATGCAGGCATCACTTTATATGGGCTGAGATACTCCCTGGCTCCTGAGTGTCGTTGTTTCTGCATGAATTAGCAGTCAGTTGAGCTTATCTTTCTAGGAAAATATTAATAATGCTTTACCATAGTGGTTACTCAATAAATTAATGGATTTTCAGTGAACCCATGATACACTAGTATCATAATTTGTTTTTCAAATAAGGTATTTAAATGATCATTACTTTTAAAAGTTGCTCTTTTTTAATTCAACAGAAAATATTCAATAAATATGGAATGAGTAAGCAAATGGATAAGTGAATTTGAGGGCCTTTACATTTTAATAAACATTTAAGAAATGTCATTCATAGTTTCATTGTCTTAAATATCCCTTGGTTCACTTGACAGTACTTTTTGACAGTAACTTTGTTGGATTATTCCAATATCTCTTCTCCAGTCTCTACCTAGGCTGTTGTTCAAGGCTCCCAATTATAAAATAAAAGGTGAGCGTGCAACACTGCCACCTTCACTGAGTACACTAGGAATGAAGCATGTGTTTTTCAAAATTAGGATTCCTCTATTTCTCTATATTTGAAATAAACTTGCCACAGCCAACCTGCTCAGCTGTTGACAGAGCTATCTCTTGTCTTACTCATCTGCTCATTTCCTACTCTAGACCTAGTTTGGTGCTTTGCTGCTATGAAATGCGGATTTCTCATAAAAAAAAAAAAGTCCCTTTCAATTTACTTCATTCACAGAACGTTAAAGGCTTACTTTGATCAACTGAGTAATGAATTGATGCAATGCTGTTCCATCCAAACTGCCTTCATTTGCCGCAGGGACACCAGCGCTGTGTCACAGTGATTGCTACCCCACGACTGGCCTAGTTTGTCAGTATTGCTAAGCAATGACTACTCTCCATGTATTCAGAGGATATTTCCACCATCCGTGCCAAATACTGGCCACTGGCAGTCTCGCCTGCCTTCTCTGTCCTAGTCTCAGTCTGGACTATAGACTGAAGTCGGGGGGGGGGGTATCTACTGTTGCACCATAATCAACATTTTCTTCTCCCTCTCCTTTCTCTCCTCCCCCCTTTATCTCAGCAAATTTTCTTTTCCTTTTTCTGCAGTCCACATTGCCTTGGAAACACAAAAGGGTAGAGAACCTGACCAGTGATGTATTCATTCATTGTCTTGGTGATTTTGGTTTGAATCTCATTATTGAATTTGCTTTGGCTATAAGTGAGGAAGAGGCTAAGAGTCTGAGGTTGTCACCAAATTCGAATTGCTTTGTTTTGTCATTGGCCCGGGAGCCCTGCAACTTTTATTCTCATTTAACAGGAACCAGGAGGAAGCATTGTGAAAGCAGAGCTACAGCTTACATCAACTTGCCCTTTCCAGTAAACACTCCTAGCAGTAAATGCATGCCACATCTGTTAGTGAACATGAAGACATAGCTTCCCATAAAGTACAAAAGTTCTGAAAAAATTCTTTTTTTAAAGTAATAATGATGATTAATGTTAAGTCTGAGAGCTCAAAACATCTTACTTTTGCATGTTTTCTGTTACAGTAGCAACTTTTCTGTGCTGATTTTAGTTACTTAAATGTTGCTTGCTTTGTTTATATAGTTTTGATCTTCTGATTAGTCATTTAAAAATGAGAAAGAAGTTTAAAATTAAAGATGATATGTAATGCCATCATTAGTACTCTGGTGTACTGTATATTTCTCTAGCCCGTTCTGTGCAATATTGACACTCACAAGGCTTGTTGGAGATTGGGATTCATGTCTATCTCAACCGGATTTTTTTAAAAACTTTTATTTACCTACTAGAGAGAGAAAGAGAAAGAGATCCAGTCCCTTCCACTGGCCAAGTCCCCAAATGCTTGCAATTGCCAGTGGAGGGGACCAGGAACTGAATCCAGGTCTCCCAAATGGGTGGTAGGAGCCCAATCATTTTTTTTAAGATTTATTTTAACTATTGAAATACAGAAGGAGAGAGAGAGAGAGAATGAGAGAGAGAGAGAGAGAGAGAATCTTCCATCCACTGGTTCACTTCCCAAATGGCCACAACAGCTGGTGCTGAGCGAATATGAAGCCAGGAGCCAGGAGCTTCTTCCAGGTGTCCTACATGGGTGCATTTGGGAAGTGAACTAGTGGAGGAGAGATCTTTCTGTTTCTGTCTCTCTGCCTTTCAAATTAAGTTTAATAATTTTTTTAAAAATCTAAAAAGATGATGGAATTGGAAGGAAAGTGGCACTGCATGCAGCTCTTAAATCTGTGAAGTTGAAGAACAGAGACATCTTCTTTTCACTTTGGTTTCAGTGGCAGGAAGGAACTCTTGCTCTTCTGGAAGGGCTAGCCACCACCCCCTCCTTCTCCTCCTCCTCTCTACCTCCTATCACCCAGCTTTGGCTTGGAGGCGCCTCCTTTTCCTCCTACCCATCCCTGCTCACAGTCACTTTACTCAGCAAGAACAAGCATCAGGAGCAGGGGTGTGGGGTAACACAGCTGGGGATGGGTTGCATTGGCAGTGTCCACAGGGAAGAGGGCATATTTTTGCCCAGAAATAGAGTAGAGCAAGCTATGAGGCCTTCAAGAAATGTTAATAATGGTGAGCCTATTGGGAAAGCATTTGGATTTCTCTGCAAGAATGTAGGACATACAGGATTTTCCAGTGCGTAGAAATGAATGAGTTCTTAGGATTCTCAGCATGGCTCCAGCTTTGTTCTGTTCTTTTACAGTGGCCATCTCCACATCTGTCTCGCTGCTGGGTGTAGTGTGTGTGGGGTTCCTCCTGGCATATTGCCTCCGACCAAGGTGAGTAGCACAGCAGAAACCACAGGACTAAATCTCTCCTTCCCAAGAGAAAATAGCCGTATCATCATGATTCTGGGATGATTTCTCAAAGGAAGAATCCCTTTGTGACTAGATTCTCACACTCATCCACCTCTGTTTTAGCCAAAGAGAGCATTAGAGCTGAGCACTGAGCCAGCCCTAGAGGGCCCTTAATCTGTCACACAGTTCTCAGGCCACTGGTTGGAACTGGGGGGGTGGGATGGGGGCGGCAGATAATGCTGCAGGAGGCCAATCTACCAATACGCAATTTAGAAAGAAAGAGTGCCCCTAGTGGCCAGTCTGATGAACATGCACTGTGTGCCAATTCTTCAGGTGATATATTCATGAATATAGTATACTCTCCTTGAATGCACTCTTAATTTTGTGTATATTTTCTTATCCTCAATCATGTTAACCTTAATTTTGTATTTCAAATAATTGAAATTCTGCATTTCAACATTTATGACAAGTTTCTGCCACTGGATGGTATGTATAAGGATCATTTTTAATGACAAATACATTAAAATAGATTGTTAAAAGTGTACAAATTGGTTGTATGCTGCCAATAAATATGCTTACAAGAGAATAATATCAATTTGCTGACTATATTAAATAATAAATAATTCTCAATTATTTTTCCAATCTTTAGGTATTTTGATCCTTTTTTCACTAAAGACTGAAGCAGCAATGCTAGCCTTATTGTGTACTTCTTTCAGGTGGTGACCAGGATCTCACCTTTCTAGATCGATGTGGTTGCTCTGGGTCTGTTGAAACTAAAATTTTACTGACTAGTTATAAAATATTAAATATGATGTCACTATAAAGTTATAGGACACTTTGAGCCTAAATTTTACAAAATGAACATTCCATGAAATTCTATTATAAAGCCAAAAATGAAAACCAGTCTTTAAAAGTTCACATAAATCTTCAAAAGCTGTTAATACCAGACCAACCAATAAAAAATGCCATCAATATCTTAGGTAGTAGCTCAGAAGTTAATGAACTAAGGTTAATAAATTACTCAAAAATTTATCTAAAAAACCTCTTAAATGCCAAATGTTGACAATACAGATGAAATTACTTTCAAAAGGATTTTCAAAATATCATTGCTGAATAATTTCCATGTAAAAAGCTGAATGTAGAGTTATATTCTTAGATTATAGCTGGATATATTAAAAAGGAATCTATATGTCACCTTTGTAATAAATACATTAAAATATATTCTTAAAAAGAATTTGTAAGTTTGGTATATACAGCTAATAATGTACTCACAAGAGGAAATACCAGTGTTTACTGACTATATTAAATATTTTTGTAAATGTATTTTTAAAAGGTTTGGTAAATCTGGTAAATATGATTATTTGGTCATTTGGTCAATTAAATCTTCCCGTAAACTGCATTTTGCAAATTGGTTATCAGATATCCTAGTCAACAAACTGGCTTTTAGCAAATTGGCCTAAGATTCTGATTTATAGCCAAGCTTTCACTCGAAGGGGCTCAAATCACTTCCCTTAAAATGGCCTAAAAAGTTGCTTCTCTGTAGAAGAGAGACTCCGTAAGCCAGAGAAGAAGGTGCTGCTGACCCAGCTACTCAGAGAGGCAGCTTCATGACAGGCACACAAATGTGTAATCCAAATATTGTGCCTTCCTCACTCTCATTATTCAAGAGATGATTAGTCTGTTTCTCTCTCTATCACTTACTAAGCACCAAGAACCGTTTAAAAACCTTCATGAGCTTGGATGATGTAGATGACCAAGTGTGGTGTGAGCAGCCTCCTGGCTACACTGCCCTTTTCCTGTCCCTGCCATCTGAAGTGCTTTTCAACAAGGGGTGGGGATGAGGAGCTTGTGGGAGGGACGTGAGCTGCCCCAATAGCACTGGTAAATCTGGTGGATGGGGAGGATGAAAATATGGTATTTAAATTCCATCTGGAAGTTTAAGCCTTTTAGGTTTTCTAGATCTTTGAGCAACACCACCATCAAAGACCGAGTATTTTGTGATTCCTGCAGGCAGGGCATGTGTTTGCTAATGCCTTCCACACTGTGCTGGACACCCATGTTCAATAGGAAGTTATCTGCTGATTTGAGGGCAACCCTCTCCTCTTTTCAAAACGTGTGAATCATCTGCTTTGCAGGCAAACTTCCCAGCCACCTGGTGTTGAAATGGAAACCACAGAAGCAATGCCAATGACTGGGTGCACCAGTAGCAGAGAGGAAGACACAGAAAACTACCCACCTGACCTCTGAAACTCGTGGTGGGGTGTTCCAGCCCAACTAAGTCTGGAGCAAAGGAACCACCTCTGTTTACCTAAGGAGGAAGAGACTCAAGGAGTTGGGTGCCCAGAAAAAGCCGCAGGATAACCACACGTCCCTGATGTGATCTAACTGTGCCCAGCCTGGGCACACCCCCGTAGAAGCCAGGAGATCACTGAGCATTCAGGAGGATGCCATCCATCCACCCACCTGCTGCCAACTCAGGTTCAGGGGCCAGCTTCCCAAAGTCCAAGCAGGTAAAGCTCTCTCAGGAAAGGCTGATGGCTTCAGGCCAGCGTTTGTATTTCATTATGACATTTATTGAGGCTACTTTATTGGCCTGTTTAGTCCATGCGTCATCCTGACTTGTAGTTTAGAGAGGATAGTAATACAACCAAGGCTGTCCATTGCACAATGCTCCTTCTGACTTGAGAGATGTCCACAGGGAAGGCATCTGCATTTGAGCTCCAGAAAATTCTGACAATAGGTGCTCTGCATGATTGGAAGTAGGCCAAGCAAGGCAGAAGACATATTGAGCCCACTGAATCCTCTTGAGTTAAGGATTCAGAAAGAAAACTGAACTCAGTGACATTTTACATACACATGCGTTTATATTTATTCTTCTATCTGCATATTATATATGATTTGTATTTTGAAAATTATGTCTATGTAAGCAAAATAAAAATATATTTTCAATACAAAAAAGAATCAATGAGACATGTTCCACAAAGAAAACAGCAAGGATGCAGAATCTGCAATGATTGTAGCACAGATTTTCTTTCTAAAAAGAGAAAAAATGCTTGCCCAAAGCTGGATCACATCATAGTTTCGGGAATTTCTAACAAAAATTCCCTGTGAGAAGTAACTTGATGTAATCTGGATGATGGTAAGTTTTGGCTCAGCTATGTGTGGGATGTACATTTCACTTTCCTTCTCATGTTCTACTTTGCTATGGATGCCATTTATTTCTGAAATCCTAGGCCTAATCTCACTTTCCCACCCATTTTATAGATGTGAAAATTGAGCCCAGAGAAAGTGGAACCACCATAAACATCTGGGAGGTAGGGCATGCATGTAGCATCTGATTCATATGCTGCCAGAGGCTCTTAAAGCGCCACTTCTCATTGTCTGCTGTGTGTCATCAATTTAGATGGTTTTATCACAATTAAAGGAAGCCTCTCCAAATGGTTATTTGGGCCCCTCCCCCCCAACCAGCACTGTGGTAGGAGTGGTAGGAGCTGCTATGCCTTTAGTGTCAGACCAGACACCTACACGCATCACTGTCGCATTCCGTGGGTCCAGCCGTGTTCAAAGGCCAGCCTAGGCTCAAATGGGAGGGAAGGAATCAATGGAAGCCCGATTTGGTGAGTGCCTCCCACAGTTTCCAGAGCTGCTGCAGAGCTGTGATTTGCCTTTCAATCCTTGGCACTCAGTAAATATCAATAAATATTGGATGAAGGAACAGAATGATCTGTGGGAACCACTACCTGCCAAGTGCTAAGAATCCATCTTAAAATTTTTATAATGAAATGGAAAAAGTTCACAGAACTCCAAAAGATTTCAAAGTTCTACAGCTGTTATGCCTTTAGCCCAGATGTCTTTAACTGGCTACACACCTAAAAAACTCACATTTCCCCCTTTTCCCTTGTTTCCTGCACTCTGAAATTTGCCATGAAAAAAACACATTACTTCTCATATTTTTTATTTTGCTTCATTTTCCTTGATCAAGAATAACTTTTACCCCTCCCCCCCTTTTTTAAAGATTTTATTTAATTATTTGAGAGGCAGAGTTATAGTGAGAGGGAGAAGACAGTGAGAAAGGTCTTCCTTCTGTTGGTTCACTCCCCAAATGGCTGCAGTGGCCAGAGCTGCCCCCGTCTGAAGCCAGGAGCCAGGTGCTTCCTCCCGGTCTCCCATGTGGGTGCAGGGCCCAAGCACCTGGGCCATCCTCCACTGCTTTCCCAGGATGCAGTGAGAGCTGGATTGGAAGAGGAGCAGCTGGGACTAGAACCGGCACCCATATGGGATGCCAGCGCCACAGGAGGAAGAGTAACCCACTGTGCTATGGTGCCGGCCCCCATTTTCTTCCTTTTAAACTCTCTTCTAGACATTAGGAAGTAAAAGAACAGGGATCAAAACCCACATTTAAGAATCTTCCATGTTTCTAAGTGCCTGTTCTACTTGTTCATCAAAGACCTTTCACTATTAGTTGAGGCTGCCCATTTCTGGCCTCAAAATTTCAAAAAAAAAAAAAAATGCAGTTTAAGTATCTTGAATCTCCTTGCCTATTTCCCAACAAGTCTGTGCTGCTTGGAGTAGAACCAGCCCAATTCAAATCATAGCCTCCCCAACACCTAGCACAAATCAGGGCTGAATGTGTGAATATCATTCCAGAATGCATATAAACAAGGAGCTCTAATAATGAGGAAATTCACTTTACCCTTCTCTCCCTCAAGTGCCTGTCAATAATATTGTCTACACATGCTGCTTTTGTTGGGTTAGTCTTAGCTATCCAGGACATAGCACTTCTTTGTCTACATTTATGGGTGTCCTCCATTGTGTCGGGGTGCCTTGTTGTTCAATACAGGGTAGGGGCAGACATCCCCTTCCCATATGCTCTCATTTAACCTGGCTGGGCCCATCAGACCTTTTCACCTGGGACTCAGAAACTGTTGACTATGGGAGGAATGAATGAAGCACAATGAACTTGCAGAGCGGTGTCCTGTAATGGCCTTAGCTGTCACACTATTTCTTTCTCCAGACTGCTCTGGTTCAGATCCATTTTCCAAACCTAATCCTCCAGCTTTCTTTGATTCTATGAGCTCCTGATATTCTTCTAGTGCATGTCTCCATCTTCCTCTTAATGGATTCTGTTTTCATTACTTATTGATGAAAAGTGCCAAACCAATATGGGAGCAATTGGTCATCTGCCTTAGGAAGGGAAGAGAAGAGTAAAAATTCTGATAGTCTGAGCTAGGAATTGGGCAGCTCACAGAAAACAGTGAATTAGTTCACCAAAAGTTTCCAGGGATGCCATGTTCCATAAAGGCCTGGTTCTGAGAAGGCATGAGAAATCCAAGGTCACAGATGGTAGCTATTTTTAATGGCACTGAAAAACTTAGAATAACAAGTTCAAACCCTTCAAGTTCCAATTCCAGCCACAGCTGGAAACCTAGAGACTTCCTGTGATTGTGCTGAATTTCATCCCTTAGAGATACAAGACCAAGATAGCCAAAAACCCAACCTTAAGAGTCCAGGTAGCTGAGTTGTTGAATACTGCTGTTTCCCAGCTGAAAGGTAGGGCATTGCTGAGCACATGGCCTCAGTATGGGAATGAAAATGTAACAGGGAAATGTGGAGGACTCAAGTGTGTCCCAAGCATGCTCTCCTCTTTCTTCTGTTGTTCTCAGAAACAGCTTTTGGCTTATTTCGTCTGATAACATTTCTTTCTTGGTTGAGGGGTCCTCTTACAAGAGGAAGCTTGCTCTCCTGTGATTTTCCCCTGTGTCCAGCTCCTAGTTTCCTGAATGGGAACCACAGCTCCCCAAAGGCTGTCTAGAACCTGGATCCACAGACCTCCACCTCATTTCCCATTGGTTCCCAGTCTCACTGCCTCCTCACAGGCCAGGCCCATTGCTAAGCTCAACCCATCTGTGGTTCCTTCAACATCCTCTATATCCAACCTGTCTTTTGAGAGCCAGCTCAATTTATATTTTGTCCACAGAGCCTTCATAAACTATTCAAATGTATAAAGTCATCTGATTCTGAACTCATAACATTTATTATCCGTTCTATTTGTGTAGCATATACTAAATGCTGCTTTATTATACAGTGGGTAGAACATGACTTAGAACATGTTAAAACACACCAATTTCAACATTTGCTGGCTCTGTCCCTTGGAGGAGTCTGTTGGCTAAGTAGATTGACATTGCCTTGTCTTTAGAGTGGAGGTAACAGCACATGTGTCACCTTTCTCACAAAGGCATGAGGTGAAATGGAGCACTTATATATGATTTACTGGGGGCAGGCACTATGGCCTCCCATGTGTGTGGCAGGGACCCAAGCACTTGAGCCATCCACAAAGAAGACTCAGACTGAAGTTCAGCTTAGCTTTGGCGTGGCCCTGTCCCAGCTGTTGCAGGCATTTGGGGCGTGACCCAGTTGGTGGGAGATCTCACTCTGTCCATCTGTCTCTCTCTGCCTTCCAAATAAAACAAACAAATGGGCAGGAGGCATGCAGAGAGGAAAGAAAGCAATGAGTTCAAGAAAAGAGCAGCACCAAGCAGCTGGGCAGATACGCAGAGGAAGGGCAACGCAGGTGTCAGTGGGAAACACATTTTTCTTATAGGCCCCATTATCAGCAGGGTTCTGGGAGGATTGCTCAGTAACTTCATGTTAAACAAATCTGAAACAAGAGCAGCCTTAAAGAACGAAGGTCTCACAAGGACTGAACAACTGAACGTAGCCAACAGAACCTCGGGAGCTCAACCCCAAGCCCTCCCTACTGCTCCCTTCTGGTGGATAGATACCTTTGCTGTGAAAGCAGGTGGTCCTGTTTTTAGGAATGCTGCTTCACTTCTCTAGGCAGAGTGCCAGAAGCACTGGTTATAAGACAGTGTGGAATCTTCAAAAGCCCCTTGGAAGCAAATGCTGCTAGATTGCTCAGGGCCAGCTGGGCTGCACCTGGCTGCTTGTTTTCTCTAAGTGTCCCCAGAAGCCTTCAAAGGCTCAAGGCACTGCAGAGGTTGCAGAGAGAGGAAGTTCCGAGTGCCACCCCAGGTCCTGTATACACACAGCAGCTAGACTTTTAAATTGGAATGGGGCCAGAGTTGTGGTGCAGCATTAAGCCACTGCTCACAACGCATCCCATATGAGTGCCACTTGCAGCCCCAGCTGCTCCATTTCTCATCCAGCTCCCTAATGCACCTGCAAAAGCAGCAGATGATGGCCCAAATGGACCCCTGTGATGCACTTGGGAGACCTGGAGGGAATGCTAGGCTTCTGACTTCAGCCTGGCCCTAGCCCTGTCTGTTGCCATTTAGGGAGTAAACCATCAGATGGGAGATCTCTGTCTCTCCTTCTTTCTGTAACGTTGCCTTTCAAATAAATAAATCTTTAAAAAAATTGGAAGTAAAATTGAAAAAATTCCATGTTTAAAAAAAATCCCAACATCTTTGATTTTGTCTTAAATTTTTTTTTTAAAGTTTCAATGCCAACTCTCTTCTCATGAAGGTAGTGGCAACATCATAGGTTCAGGGATTGAATTTGAGTTTTTCTTCCTTTTTTAAGATTTATTTATTTATTGGAGAGACAGACAGATCTTCTATCCACTGGTTCATCCTCAGATGGCTGCAATGGCCAGAGCTGGGCCAATCCAAAGACAGAAGCTTTCTCTGGGTCTCCCACATGGGTGCAGGGGCCCAAACAAATGGGTCATCTTCTAGTGCTTTCTGAGGCCATTAGCAGGGAGCTGGATCAGAAGCAGAGTAGCCAGTGCCGTGGTTCACTTGGCTAATCCTCCGCCTGCAGCACTGGCATCCCGGGTTCTAGTCCCGGTTGGGGCACCAGTCCTGTCCCAGTTGCTCCTCTTCCAGGCCAGCTCTCTGCTGTGGCCCGGGAAGGCAGTGGAGGATGGCCCAAGTGTTTGGGCCCCTGCACCTGCATGGGAGAGCAGGAGGGGGCACCTGGCTCTTGGCTTTGGATCAGCGTGGTGTGCCGGCCGCAGCACACCAGCCATAGCGGACATTTGGGTGAACCAACAGAAGGAAGACCTTTCTCTCTCTCTCTCTCTCTCTCTCTCTCTCTCTCACTGTCTAACTCTGCCTGTCCAAAAAAAAGGCAAAGTAGCCATATGGGATGCTGGCACTGCTTAATCTACTGTGCCACAGCGCTGGCCCCTGAATTTGAGTTTTCCTAAGCTCTATAGTGTGATACTGAGCACAGTGGTTCTGGCCCAATTACTCTTTTAAATCCATACACAGTGTTCTCATGATAGTCATTATTCATTCATTCATTTATTTATTTAACTTGAAAGGCAGAATTAAGAAGCAGAGAAACTGAGAGATCTTCCTTCTGCTGGTTCAGTCCACAAATGGCTGCAACAGCTGAAGTCGGGAGCCTGAAACTCCATCCTGGTCTCCCATGTGGGTGGCAGGGCCCCAAGTACTTGGGCCATCTTCTTCCCAGGCAATTTAAAAGGAAGCCAGATTGGAAGTGGTGCTACTAGGATTTGAACTGGCACCCACATAGGGGGTTGTGGGTAGACAAGTGCAGACCCCAGAAATTCTGTATACATTTTAGCCTACCACAGGCTAGCCTGAGCTAGTCTAACTTCTAGCTCACTGAAATTCATCAGTTAGGGGCCAGCATGGTGATGCAGCAGGTTAGGCCCAACACCTGCAGTGAGCTCCAGTTCAAGTCTTGGCTGCTCCGCTTTCCAGTCCAGCTCCTAGTTTTGGCCTGGCCCCGCCCCAGCCCCAGCTGCTGCAGCCATTTGGGGATGAACCAGCAAATGAAAGATTTCCTCTGTCACTCTGCGTATCAAATAAATAAAATAAATCCTTAAAAATGGATCAGTTATCACCACCACTGACTTCCTGTGCCAGTTAAAAGAATACCTTTCTACCCTTATTTACTGCTTTACTACACTGGAAGCTGAGCACTGCTTTAACTCTTTCCTCTCTTGAGTTTACTAACACCATCATGATGGCCATTCTTCCAGAATCAGCTGTCGCGCTTCTTTACAAAACCCTCTTTTCTTTATCCCAACCTCAGGTAGGCTTCTTGGCATCTGTTCCTCTCATTTAAAAGAAGTTTGCTTATTTTCATTTACTTGAAAGGCAGAGATGGAGATATTTTATTCATTGGTTCACTCCTCAAATGCCCGTAACAGCTAGGAATGGGCAAGGGCAGTACCAGGAGCCGGGGACTCATCTGGGTCCCCCATGTCAGTGGCAGGGGCCCAAGCAATTGAGGCATCATCCGCTGCTTCCCAGAATGCATTAGCAGGAAGCATGATTAGAAGCAGAGTAACCAGGACTGGAACTGGCATTCTGATACGGGATGGGGGCATGCCAAGTGGTAGCTTAACCTGCTGCACCACAATACCTGCTGCTCTTTTTTATACTGTCCCGGAATGAATTCATCAAAATCCTTAAACTACCACTTACCTCTTGATAATTTTAAAATTACTTCCACCCACGGCTCTTTGTTGAGTATAGATGTTTACCCAATAGCTCCCTGGACAATTCTACTTTAATTTCTCTTAAGCACCCTAAAATCATTACATCAAAAAAACAAATCCAGGGGCCGGCATTGTGGCATAACGGGTAAAGCTGCCACCTGTGACACCGGTATCCCATATGGGTGCCAGTTCGAGTCCTGGCTGCTCCACTTCTGAACCAGCGACCTGCTAATGTACCCGGAAAGCAGAGGAGGATGGCCCAAGTACTTGGGCACCTGTGCCTACATGAGAAACCAGGAAGAAGCTCCTGGCTCCTGCCTTTGGATCAGCCCACCAATAGCTGTGCAGTCATTTGGGGAGTGAACTAGTGGATGGAAGCTCTCTCTATCTCTCCCTAACTCTGCCTTTCAGATAAATCAAGCTTTAAAAAAAAAAAAAAAATCTGTAATTTTTGCACAAACCTACTACTTCTCCTGGTTTCCCTGTCTCAATGAAGGGTATTTATTTACCTGGAGAATCAGCCAGAAAATGGGGAATCACATTAAGATTCTATCTATCCCCTTCTAAGCACTGCTAATTCTTATTGATTCTACCTTCCTAATATTGAGAGCACAAGTTCTCAAAATTCAGCGTGTACCAGAACCACTTGTGGGGCTTGTTAAATACCAACTGCTGAGCCCCAGCCCCAGAGTATCTGACCCTGAAGGTCTGTGGTACACTGGGAATTGTATTTCTAACTCTTCCCAGCTGATACTGATGCCACTCATCTGGGGACCATACTTCCAAGACCACTAATCTGTCTACCCAATCACCAGTTCACCCTACCAGTCACAGTGCAACTGCCCATCACTTGTCATTTTCTTGCTGAGATGATAATCATTAGCCTTTTAATTTATCTGACCTTATATATTTTTAAATATTTACTTATTTGAAAATCAGAGAGAGAGAGAGAAAGTCTTCCATCTGCGGGTTCACTCCCCCAGATGGCTGTAACAATCAGGCTGAAGCCAGGAGTCAAAAGCTTCTTCCAGGTCTCCCAGGTGGGTGGCAGGGACCCAGACACTTGGGCCATCTTCCTCTGCTTTTCCTAGGCCATTAGCAGGAAGCTGGATCAGAAATGGAGCAGCTGGGATGCAAATCGGCACCCATATGGGATGCCAGTGTTGCAGGCAGTAGCTTTACCTGCTACGCCACAACATTGGTCCCCCTTCCTTGATCTTGAAACATTCTCCAAACTGCAACTGGAAGGATCTTCCTATAAATAAGGTGTCAGCAAACTGTTAAAATCTTTGCTTAGTATAGAGTTGATCTCCTGTATATAAAGATAATTAACAATGAATCTTAATGAAGAATGGGGTGGGAGAGGGAGTAGGAGGTGGGATGGTTTGGGGGTGGGAGGGCAGGTATCGGGGGGAAGAACAGCTATAATCCAAAAGTTGTACTTACGAAATTTATATTTATTAAATAAAAGCTTTCTATTAAAAAAAAAAAACACCATGGAATCTGCTTGGCTCAGCTCTGAGACCAATGTGGTAGTTCTTTGGGTGATGCTGTGCTCACCCCGCCACTTGCCATCAACATCCTGAAACTGCTGTATGCCAAAGACGTCAAATACCTTTCAATGTACATCCACACGTACTGGTCATTTCTGTAAGAATTTATACTTTATCACAACATCCCACTATCCCAAAACACAGTGAACCAGGTACCAACTTCCCATCTCTCTTCTACGAATTCCCCACCCACCTCCACTTTACCTTTCAAGTGTTTCAGTTGTATTGTAGGAAACACTACATCTAACTAGTCTAACTATTTCATTGTACTTGCCTTTTTATGTATTAGGTGCCTTCATTATTTAAACTGCATACTTCATCATGACAAAGGTACCCATCAGGTCTTACAAATATGTCATTCCTCATGGTACAAAAGTCACATTTTGGACATGCCAATTATAACCCTACACATTAAGTCTCATGATCTGCTTGGTGTATCATATGAACAGAGACAGCTGTTGAAAAGAGAAAAGAAGAGGAAAAAAAAAGAGGAAACCAGGTGTCACAGTGGCATGCCAGTGCTGCAATGCCGTTTAATTGAAATCCTGTAATAAAAGTTTAAATACATAAAAGGTTTTTGTTTTTGTTTTTGTTTTTGTTTTTTATCAAAAGATCCTCCTCCTCTTCCCTGACCTGATACAGACTGAGGGTAGGCAAATGGAAACTGGCTAGCTGTAGGGAATGGAGAAATGGCAGGTCCAAGTCTGGTTGGTTTCTTCTTCCGCAGAAAATGCTCTGTGATTGCATTCAGAGTCTCAGGAGAGTGAGAGCCCACCCCACAGACTTCTGTCAGCAGGTGGAGTCCACATGTGGCAAGCTACCCCGCACCACGGAGAATGCTTGTCCCAGCCTTAGAAGACAAGGAAGAGCAGGGCTTCGTGTCTGGGCAGCACTATGTTTTCTACGGTGCGTTCCATGGAGCGCACCTGCTCCGGAGAGGCAGTCAAGAATGCCAAAGGCCCAATACGCTGCTCTACACAGGAGTGGCAGAGGTAGCCACCATTGTTTTCCTTTCTGTTGCTCTGCAGGATGGGTAAGAAAAAAGAGGTAAGGAAACAATCAAAAACAAAGACTTTCCACCAAAAAGTGCTGAATTATTGTCACAGCTGCCAAGGGACAGTGTCTTATGAGCTGATGTTTTCAGACCAGTGCAAACCCTCTGGAGTAATGCTTCCCACAACACTACTGCCAGGGTAGACTCAACTCCTCCAAATTCCCTGAAAATAGAAACCACAGTTTATCTCATCAGACACAAAGAATCAGAAAAACTGAACCAGGCTCTCCAGGTAAATGGTTGTCTTCTGATGCATCTTGTCACAACCCAGTCTCCCAGGTAATAAGACTTTACACAACCAGACAGGATCACACATCCTGACTCTTGACTAATACTTTCTCTGACATATAGGGAGACCATATCTCTTGTGCCTTATGTATAAAAAGTACCTAAAGGGGTCAGTGCTGTGGTATAGTGGGTAAGGCTGCCGCCTGCAGTACCAGCATCCCATATGGGCTGGTTTGAGTCCTGGCTGCTCCACTTCCAATCCAGCTCCCTGCTATGGCCTGGGAAAGCAGTAGAAGGTGGCCCAAGTCCTAGGGCCCTGCACCCACATGGAGACCTGGAGGAAGCTCCTGGCTCTTGGCTTCAGATTAGGGTAGTCCTGGCCGTTGCGGCCATTTTGAGGAGTGAACCAGCAGATGGAAGACTTCTCTCTCTGCCTCTGCCTTTCAAATAAATTAAAAACAAACAAAAAAAACTAGGCCAGCGCCACGGCTCAGTAGGCTAATCCTCCGCCTGCAGTGTCGCAACACCAGGTTCTAGTCCCGGTAGGGGCGCCGGATTCTGTCCCGGTTGCCCCTCTTCCAGGCCAGCTCTCTGCTGTGGCCCGGGAGGGCAGTGGAGGATGGCCCAAGTCCTCGGGCCCTGCACCCGCATGGGAGACCAGGAGAAGCACCTGGCTCCTGGTTTCAGATCAGCATGATGTGCCGGCCACAGCGTGCCAGCTGCGGTGGCCATTAGAGGGTGAACCAACAGCAAAAGGAAGACCTTTCTCTCTGTCTCTCTCTCTCACTGTCCACTCTGCTTGTAAAAAAAAAAAGAAAAAAAAAAAAAAACTAAAAAAAGGATTACACCGATTTCTCTTCTCTCCTTCACCCACAACCTAGATAACTACGTGGCTGACAAGCAGTAAAATGCCAATGACTGAATTAAGTTCGAAAGAGAGCAGGTGCTGTTGGGGAGACCACATACGTAAGTGATGGGGAGTTTCTTCATGGTGAGCACAGTGTCCACAGGGATGGCATTGTTGCACTGCCCCACGCAGCAGCGGACCACTCCTGTTTTTAATACGTTGCTTGTCAGCTCGGCTTGCAAGAAGTACTCCTAAGAAGGAAAGAGACAGAGAATAATAGCACCTCTGCTACCTTCTACTTGGAAACTCTTGATGCATCTTGAGTTCCAGAATGAGAAAAGGTTACCCTGTTTTCCCTTAGTTTCTCTGATTTTCCCTGACTCCAAAGCTTTCATCAAGAGAAAACACTTGAAATAGTCCCATTGGCTTCTTGATAAAACTGCAGCTAGTTTTTTAAAAAATAAGATTTAGTGGACAAACATGCATAACGATTGCCCACAGTGATATTTCAAGACTATTTCTGGATTCTACTTATGCTAACCAATCTCCAACTGAATTATTACAAAATTTTTTTTGTATATTCCCGTTGTAACTCCGCTAAGTTGAGAGAGAAGAACTTAAAGGACGTCCAGGGGTTGGTGCTGTGGCACAGAAGGTAAAGCTACTACCTGCAGCGCCAGCATCCCATATTGGCGTCTGTTTCAGGCTGCTCCACTTCTGATCCAGTTCCCTGCTGATGTGCCTGGGAAAGCAGCAGAGGATGGCTCAAGTGCTTGGGGCCTTAGATCCACATGGGAGACCCGAAAGAAGCTCCTGGCTCCTGCCTTTGGACTGGCTCAGCTCTGAATGTTGTGGCCATTTGGGGAGTGAACCAGCAGATGGAGATCTCTCTCCCTCTCTCTCTCTCCCACTCTACTTCTCAAATAAATATTAAAACAAAAACAAAAACAGAAACAGATGTGCAAATCAACCCTGCACACTTCCCTCTTCCCCTGCTATTGGTTGGCAAGTGGGAAGCTGATACATTTCAGCCTCAATTTCTTTATCTGTGAAATGTAGAGAACAAGGCACCTACTGTCACAAAAACAGGGACTTTGGTTTGATTCACTGCTGCCTCTGAGGAGTTCCACAAAGTATGGGCAAACTAAATGAGCAGGACCACTCATAACTGCTGATCATAAATGACAATTTCATATTTTCTAGATTACAATTGAGTTGTTTACCACATTTTTCAGAATCTATGTACCACATTTTGATTTATTTGGTTTTCTCTTCCATTTTACAGCAAAACAGATTTTGCTGAAGCCCCTTTGACTGCTATCTCCATTTTCTTTTTGGGTGTCTCTTTTGTGAGCCACTGTAAAATAGCTTCAAGTTTAATACATGTCCAAAAGCATAAGGCATTTTATAGCTGTTTGTTACATAAGTGTCATACTTTTGGTTTCCTTCTCAGTTTGTTCACTTTCCTCTTGTGCTATATAGGATTCAGCCATCATTCTTTTATATTTTATTTATGCATTTCTGTGGAAACTCGGGTTTCTAAACTATTTCCAACGATGCAGAAATGAATATCTTTGTACATATTTCCAGCCCACTGCAAGATTTTCTCCAGGGCTGGGGATTTCAAACTGTTTTGATTCATTTACAGTACAATTCTATACTTACATGTGTAAGAAATTAAGGAGCAGGCATTTAGATTAGCAGTTAAGACAGCTGCATCCCATATCTGAATACCTGGGTTTGATATACCCAGTTCAGGCTCCTGCTTTGTGCTTCCTGCTACGGCAGACCCTAGGAGGCAGAACTGATGGCTCACGTGATTGGGTTCCTGCCACCCATATGGGAGATCTAGATCGATTTCCCAGCTACTGACTTGGACCTGGCCTGGTTCCAACCCTCATGAGCATTTGGGGATTGAACCAACAAATGGGAGCTGTATCTGTCTCTGCTATATACATACATACATACATACATATATAGGTAAATGAACTTGAAATCAAATTTCCACAAAATACCATTTAACCCAATATATTGTGATAACTGAATTTTTTGCCATTTTACTTTTTTTTTGACAGGCAGAGTTAGACAGTGAGAGAGAGAGAGACAGAGAGAAAGATCTTCCTTTCCATTGTTTCACCCCCCAAACGGTTGCTACTGCTGGCGCACTGCACCGATCCGAAGCCAGGAGCCAGGTGCTTCCTACTGGTCTCCCATGCGGGTGCAAGGCCCAACAACCTGGGCCATCCTCCACTGCACTCCTGGGCCACAGCAGAGAGCTGGACTCAAAGAGGAGCAACCAGGACAGAATCTGGCGCCCCAACCAGGACTAGAACCCGGGGTGCCAGAGCTGCAGGCAGAGGATTAGCCAAGTGAGCTACGGCGCCAGCACCATTTTACTTTTTTTTAAAGCTTGTGATAACACATTAATGTCACCAATCATTAGTGAACTGCAACCTACAATTTGACAGACACTGTTCCAGGGCATTAGAATAGAGATGATTTGGTCTTAGTACTCTTTATGTTACTAAACATCATTGTATATGTGAACGGTTACTATTTATCATCTTGGAATCTCAGAAATATACACTCAGAAGTTTTCAAAATGTGGTGAGAAGAGTAGCACTGTTTTGTCTTTGCAAATCTTTCATGTCTAGCTTAACAGAAGACAGCTGGCGCCTCATCTCTTCTGTATTTATTTTGTGGTGACATCACATGCCAGGTGGCCTTGGAGGACTACCCTGCACACTTGCGAGAGCATTACAGAGAAAAATGCTAGTAACAGCCTAGTACCCAGAAAACTGTATATGCATAACTGGTATATGAGCACAGCATGTATTTGTGACGAGCCTGGCATGTGTGTATAATATGTACTTTAAGCGTGGTGTATGCCACATACATAATATGTGCTGAGAACAAGAGAGAGAGCCCTGCAGGGTCAATTTGATTATATCAATATTTAAAACTTCAATCTGGTAAAATAACAGCTAATATTTACTTAGTCTGTTAAAAAAAAATAAAAAAACCATCCTTTGAGGTGCAGTTAATACCCTTACACCGGCTTTATCAGGTAAGGAACCATGCTTAAGTCATCTGGTTCAGGTCACAAAGAATCAAAACAACTGGAATGAGAACCAGACATGAACAGGGCCCGTGCTTTTACCATGGCCAGTCACCACATGGGAAAATATTTTTTTCAACAAACACGTGTGGAGTATCAATTATATGTTAGGTGCTGTCCTAATGATGTGCTTGTGAGATCTAGATTAAGAATCTAAGATTCTAGGGTAGGCATTTGGCCTACTGCTTAGGCCACAGGTTAAGATACCTGCAGCCTACGGTATCAACAGCTGACTCCAATTTCCTCCTAACACAGACTTCAAGAAGCAACCGCCATGGGGCTGGCGCTGTGCCTCACTTGGTTAATCCTCTGCCTGCGGTGCCAGCATCCCATTTGGGCGCCGGGTTCTAGTCCTGGTTGCTCCTCTTCCAGTCCAGCTCTCTGCTGTGGCCCGGAAGGGCACTGGAGGATGGCCTAAGTGCTTGGGCCCCTGCACCCACATGGGAGACCAGAAGGAAGCACCTGGCTCCTGGCTGTGGATTGGCATAGCTCCAGCCATAGCGGCCTTTTGGGGGGGTGAACCAACGGAAAGACGACCTTTCTCTCTGTCTCTCTCTATCTCTCACGGTATAACTGTATCTGTCTAATAAAAAAAAAAAAAAAAAAAGAAGCAATGGCCACGGCTCAAATAATTGAGTTCCTGCCACCCATTTAGGAGACTGGGCTTGAGCTCCTGGTTCCTGAATGTCGTGGGCATTTGGGGAGTGAACCAGCAGACAGGAGTTGTCACTCTCTCTCTCTCAAAAAAAAAAAAAAAAAAATTCTAGGAAGCTGAGAAGCTGTCTTTGAGCAACTAGTAACTGTGTCGCTTAACACTTCAAAAATACAGTGATTTTCTTCACTTCTTTAAAACTTAAAAAAAAAGATGAACAAAAAGGCTTCTGGTGATTATTACATCAGTCATGTTCTGTAAGGAGATCAGAGAAAAAGGAGACTCTTGGTTATAGGGTAATGGCTTATTCTAGGGAGCAGAAAACAAAAAAGGCTCATGTTTTATGTCTAAAACGTCACAGGCATTGTGGAGCAGAGGGTAAGTCACAGTGTGGAACACACCTGCATCCCAAATCAGGATGTCGTTTAGAGTTCTGGCTACGCTGCTTCCCACCCAGCTCCTTGCTAATGTGGCTGGGAAGCAGCCGATGAGGTCTCAAGTACTTGAGTCTTGGCCACCTGTGTGGGAGACCTGGCTGGAGTTCCTGGTTCCTGCTTTTTAGCCTGGTCCAGCCCTGGCTGTTGTGGCAATTGGGGAGTTAACCAACTGATGGGAGATCGATCTCTCTCTCTCCCCCTCTCCCTCCCTCCCTGTTACTCTGTCAAACAAGGAAATAAATAAGTCTTCAAAAAGTAAATTAAAAAGAAAATACCACCACCATGACTACTACTTTTCACATGTTTTCACAGCCTCTAAATCGTCCTGGCCTCATGCCCCAGAGTCTTCAATACCCCTAGGACCCTTCTTTCTGAGCAGAGACTGGACTCAACCACTTCTGAAGCAGAATTTCCCAA